CTCTTGAAGCTAATGCCCGAACTTACAGTGGCTAAATAAACCTTTACATACAGTGGCGACAATAGCGGTCCCGCCGCCATTTTGTTCCCAACCTCTTGTTACTTTTAAATATTAATATACTAGCTAATGACCCGCTGCGTTGCCAGCGTGAAAATACATTTTGAAATAATTCACTTTTTTTCAAATTTTGTTGTTGATTTTCTATTTAATTTTTTTTTAATAAATGAAATATGGCAACGTTGTTTCATGCTGTCAAAAAAAAGTTGGGTTATGTAATGTGAATGAGTTTGTTTACAAGTAAATTAATAATTAATTCAAAATTAATTTCTTTTTTCGAGATGCGTAACCTATCCACAAACCTTCCTTGGGATGGCCATAACAATCTATCAAAGTTTCATCGTAATCGGATAAGTGGTGTAGGAGCGCATACCCGGATACCCCGCGAACATTGATTTTTATATATAGATAGAAGAGAAGATAGAAGATAGGATTTAAATGGACATCTATCATAAAAAATTGAAATCGACGTATTTGATGACTATAATTGGGTCCATCAAATACGTTATTTTCCATGTTTTGATGGATGTTCACCTAAATCCCATATATTCAGATTTGAAATGAGCAATAGGTGGCAACAAGATGGCGGCGTTTGCAATATAAATATATGGGATTTTAGAACCAATCAAAAATAAGACAGCAATTGTCGCCACTGTGGGTAATAGAGTCACTGTACCCGAACTTGGTATCAACTGCTATCTATCGAGAAGAAAATGAATGAATTACAAGAACACAAATAGCGCTGATCGACGCTGCTGTCTCTAGCGAAAGAAAAACGAGCAAATTACTACATATATAAAAATCCTTATGGTCCTAAGAACATAATTAATGGATCACTTCTGTGTCAACTATCGACGACAATACATTTCAAATTATAGACCGCTTGAAGATAAACGTGATTCGTTTGGGGGCTAAATTTTGTATTGGTCTATTATATTTAAATTTGACAGGTTTAAATAAATTCGACCAATAGAAAAAATTCGCAAAATAAAAATCTGCAATTCGCGGTTATGAGTACTAGGCTTAAAGCCTAGTACTCATAACTGCGAAATTCGCACTTTTTTGACATTGCTTCGACAAATTGACGTTTTATGCGTGAATCAAACGTCAAATTGTCGAAGCAATGTCAAAAAAGTGCCAAATTCGCAGTTATGAGTACTAGGCTTTATACATCGAGTTACACCGAACGGGTGGCTCTAGAGCTCTTCGGAGTTACTCCAAAATACACAATTCAGATAATTATCATATTCTTTAAGCCTAGCACTCATAACAGCGAAATTCGCTCTTTTTTGACATTGTTCCGATAAATTGACATTTTATGCGTGAATCAAACGTCAAATTGTCGAAGCAATGTCAAAAAAGAGCGAATTTCGCGGTTATGAGTACTAGGCTTTAGCCGGCGTGTTCGTTTTTGTCATCTTTAGCATGAAAAATTAAATTGAATATTGTTTATTGCAAACTGTAGGAAATCGAAAAAAAATCGATGCGTGTTTTTCTATTTTGTCCAAATATGATTATTTCGGAAGTTATAACAAATATTGAGTTTTATATATATAGATATACTGAGCATGTGCGACGTCACAACTCACAATACGTATTATACCTAAGTTATGACGTCGGAAGGACACTTCAAAGCGTTGTATCTCTGTCAATTTTTGACTAACAAGAGAAAGAAAAAACACGTGTTGACTTATTTTTCATGGACTATCGAAATCAGCAATAAAAAAATTTGATGCAAGGAGCCTGTTGTATTCCTTTCACACCTAGGAACAGCTCCGGGGCGCATGGAGGTAAGTAACACCCTGTTTAGCATTCGGCAATCCGTTCGACAACGGTTCGGTTTTTTAAATGTAACACCCGTGGTTGCATGGATGTGCGCTTTATCAGGTGTTACTTACCCTCGGTATTATATAAGCCTATTTACTATTACCATCTTGTAAATAATTATTTAAGGGCATTGAAATTTTAAAACATGAGTATAAGTGCAAAATATAATTAATATTGTTATATTATTCTAAATTATACTGTGCGTTCGTGATTTAGCAGATAAAAACAATAAAGGAAAAGAGCTTTCTTGAAAAACCTCGGACACTAATTTTAATTTAGGAGAACGTCTTTTTCACTATTTGTATAGTTGTGGAACATCGAAAAAGAAGGTCACGTTTCACTTTTTTAAATAACACACTGTATATGACCTTTTTTTATTTGTTTTTTTTTTTCGTGTGAAATAAGAAGGAATTTAATAATATATATAGGGTGGGTTCAAAAACCGGAATTTTGTTTTTGAGCTGTAATTTTTTTGTTGTTGACCAATTTCCTATTGTGTGTAGTTATAGACAACAAAAGATTCAGAACAATTGTGTACGATAGGTATATATTGAACCACGCATTAAACATAAATAGACGAGAACATGTTACTCCTTACATTACTAACAGTGAAATGCTCAAGATGAAAGAAAGAAGATTTTTACATTTTGCTGTTTTGATACAAAATATTATTTAGAACTCAGAATATCTCTCCGGTGAGCCTTGGTGACATTCGTACCGGTCAACAAGGAACAGATACTTTCGAAAAGCCATTACATCTTACTGAATTTTTTCAATCTTCTTTCTCTTACTTGTGCCTACATGTGTACATGATACCAAAAGGAAATACAAAAAATACAGAGAGTTTGAAACATAAAAAACTAATAATATTATATCTATACTATGTATCTAATAAAGGCATTACTGTTAAACATTATGTGAATGCAAATCTGTCCAGGTTAAGTAACACCCGATAAAGAAACTCTCCGTTGCGATATCGGTTGTTACATTCAAATTGCGAACGTGAGCCAAATGGGTGTTACTTACCTCCATGCCTCCGGGGCTTCACGCAGTTCACGCGCTTATTCCTTTCGAAACGTGTTTGTTGCACCACGCATCTGTTCCCTGTAAATCGAGGGCGACTAAACACCGGAGCGAGTAGCTCGAGTGTTTCAAACTATTGAAAGGAATTCAACTTTTTTCGTCGATTTGCTCCGAAATTTTGACAGGCACGTGACAAGATGACGCCGCGGCATAACAAACTTGACGTCCATAAGAGACTGTATTTTTTGTGAATTTCTAAAGTGTTTTTATCAGTTTGGGAACGTTTTTTGATAGAAATTTTTATTTGCGTTACTTTGGTTCATGTAATTTATGTTTTTGACATTCATTTGCACAGCTTCTTGGGGTCCGTTTTTTTTGTACCTGATGCCCAGGTATATTATTGGTAGATGAATATTCTAAGTGCCGGTACTTTTGCTTTTATTTGACAGTCGTTAAAAATAATCAGGGGTTTGAATGTGCTCTTACCACATCATACTTATAGACCTTGGCCCATGCAAAACTTTGACGACGTATCAAATTCGTTAATCGAGAGCAAAAGTATCGGCCCTAAGTAAATCGGTTTTAACTACGAACATCAAAGGAAATTGAAATAAATTAAAATTCATCAAATTGAACTCTGAAACAGGAAGAAATAACACATTTATATGGAGGCAATGTTTGTTTACATTTCGGGCCTCATCGCCATCTTGAATTATCAGCTGATTCGAATCGCCACCGCACACGCTACACACCTACAGGATTGCTTATCGGCTTCGTTTTTGATAATCGCCGTTATATTGGTGTGTCACCATTTCCGACATCATAACTAAGGGCGGGTATTATAAAACTGCTTTGACAGTTAACTTGAAGTTAACTTTTTGAATTACATGTAATTCCAGAAATTAACTTTAAGTTAACTCTCAAAGTAGTTTTATAATACCCGCCCTAAGTCATCCAGCTGTTTAAGGGGGAAAGAGGGGAATTTGTTCCACACAGGCGTTATGAGGATAGGCTATCCTGTACTCTGTAGTAGAAGTTAGAGTTGCTTTATTTAGGCCCTAAATGACAGTGGCGACAATTGCTGTCTTATTTTTGATTGGTTCTATAAAATCCTGTATATTCATATGGGAAAGCCGACGTTTTGTGCCCTACCTCTTCCTACTGTTAAATATGAACATATAGGATTTGATGTACCTAATAATAATTTTTGAGAAAATTTTTGGCTTGATTTTCTCTGCTGATGAGACCTGATAGGTCGAAACGCGTCTATGGATGGAAAAGCAGAGAAAATCAAGCCAAAAATTTTCTCATCAGTGGATAATAGGTTTTCCTATTCTGGGTTTTCCCACGAACTGAATTTTGGTCGGCCGATTAGATAGTCAGTCACTATCAATGAACTATAACCAAAAACTGGAATGCTCGCTCACACATATTGACGAACGTGAAGCCTAGGTGCTGCTGCTGCGGAGGGGATACCTGTTTTTGTCGCACTCATTATGTTAAATGGCAAAAATTGCTTCCAACACGTATGCCAGTTGATGAAACCTGTGAAGGTAAATATGACAAAACTTTCCAAAACGTCATATGTCAGCGAGCAACAGAAAAAAACAACATTCCCCTTTGTGGCATCTGTCTTTCATGGCCTCATTTTTTTGGCAGATATGGCAATGCACACAGCATTCCAGTTTTTGCTATAGTTCATTGGTCACTATATTGCAGCAAAAATTGCTGTTTAGTGTTGAATCTTTGTCTTAGATGGCGCCACGATCAAATTTCGACCGTTGTACTATAATAATTTTTTATGTACCTAATAGTAATTAAATACGATGTTTTCAATTTTTTATGATGGATGTCCATTTAAATCTTATATATTCATATTTAAAAGTAGCAAGAGGTTGGGCAAAAAATGGCGGCGTTTTTCATATGAATATATAGGATTTTAAAGAACCAATCAAAAAGAAGACGGCAATTGTCTCCACTGTGGTAATAGAGTCACTGTACTGTAGTAGTAGTGTGTATTATCCTTGCCGCACATGGAGTTATCGAACGCAGCCCAGAAACAAATCGGACAGCATCCGTCAAATGCTAAAAATGCTGCATTTACCATTTAGCCACATGTAGTTGGTATGATGCACACATACAACAAAAAGACAAGCAAGACATGAAGCAAAAGCCTTTTCTCCCTAACTTAAAAAATGAAATGTAAAATAACTTCCCCCTTTGTTCTTTCTCCACTAATTTTAAATCGGATCGTGGACTGAAAAATGAATTTGCGGGTGTAGTGGAGGTCGAAATAATTCAGAATCCACAATGTTGTGTTCTTGGTTTTGTTATATGAAAGTAGTTCTTTGAGAAGAGCAACAGGATCCAGGAAAGTTAAGCAGTGCGAAGTGATGGTGCAGAGTAGAAAAATTCGATAATCCAATCATGTTACTTACTGTCCTGACCAAAATAATGATTTTTTATGTACCTAGAGGAAAAGGAAAATGATCTGATGGTGGGCTTTTAATGATGTCCAGTGTTGTGGCTCTTAATAGTGTCAATCCCCTAAAAATGCCAATGTCGAGAACCCAACTTTTTCCCTCTCATGCCCAATATATACAAGAAGGCGGAGGTGGTAATTTGCCTCCTTTAAAACAAGGTTCTGCCAAGGAACAAAGCCCAGCAGTAACCTCAGCAACTAGTTCTGTCAATTCAGCTATTCTTCCAGAATTAAATGTAGCATCATTAGGACTACAGTGCCTAAATCGGGGAAACATGTCTTCATCTCTGAAATCTTCCCAAACGAGTCTCATATGTGTTACTGGAAATGAGTGTAAGCCTCGTACTATGGTCACAACACCAGAACAAGTAATGAAATTGTACATGAATAAACTAACACCTTATGAACATCATGAAATATTCAACTATCCCCAAATTTATTTCATTGGTGCAAATGCCAAGAAACGCCCAGGTATAATAGGAAATCCAAATAATTGTGACTATGACAATGATCAGGGGTCCTATATTCACATTCCCCATGACCACGTAGGATATCGGTATGAAGTTCTAAAAGTTATTGGCAAAGGGTCTTTTGGACAAGTAGTTAAAGCTTATGACCACGCAAATCATATGCATGTCGCTTTGAAAATGGTCCGTAATGAAAAGAGGTTCCATAGACAAGCCCAAGAGGAAGTGAGAATTCTGGAGCATTTACGGAAACAAGACAAAGACAATACAATGAACATAATACATATGTTAGATTCATTCACTTTTCGAAATCATATGTGCATCACTTTCGAATTACTTTCAATAAATTTATATGAACTTATTAAGAAAAACAAATTCAAAGGCTTCAGTTTGCAACTTGTCAGAAAATTTTGTCATTCATTGCTACTGTGCCTTGATGCATTAAATCGTAACAAAATAATACATTGTGATATGAAACCAGAAAATGTTCTTTTGAAGCAACAAGGGAGAAGTGGACTTAAGGTAAGTCATAATAAAATTAATAGGTGTTTTTTAATGATAATTCTTATAATGATATTATTGAAATAATTGAAACTATGGATAATACGAGGGATAATATAAAAAGAACTAAAATTATTTCTTTGGAATATTCCAAGGAATATTCCACTGCACAGTGCACACAAAGAATTTTTAAAAAACAAAAATGGGGGTCATAACTTCATGCTGCACCCTTAATTAATTTTAGAGCAGCTCTGGGACCTTTTGTATTTCTTCTTTACATCAATGGTATCGTTTTCTTGATAGCTATTTGCCAATGTATTTCCTTTGGGGATGACACTACTGTCCTGTGACATCATGGTAGTTTTGCTTTGCTCTGACAGGGTAAATGCCTCGGTAAATACTGATCTATCAAAAGTATCAAATATCAAAAATTGGTGTGATGCCAATTTAATTTCATTCATTGTATGAAAAACAAACATATTTCATTATTCTGTTTCAATTGACAGTCAGCCTATCCAGAACTTAATTGAAACCCGATTTTTGGGTTTCTACATTGACAGTAGGCTATAAAGTCCCCTCATATTTCTAATCTGTGCTCTAAACTGTCTTTTAGCTGCTTTGCTATTAGTGCTGTGAAAAATGAATTAAATACTGAGATCGCAAAAAGTGTTTATTTTTCTCTAATAGAGTCCCATCTTAGATATGGCATTTTTTTCTGGGGCTTGTGCTCTCATAATCTCTTCTTCGGTCTGCGACTCTGAGACTCGTGCAAGCCCATTTTTAAATCTCAAAAAATACTCGATGCTTTATAATACCTAGTAAAAGGCTGTTTAATAAGTTGCTCGATAAGTTGCCAGTCCAGATTCGAGGAATTGTAGTTTACAGTGTGTTTAGAAATAGGGTAAGAAGACTCTTGGCCGCAGGAGGGTTTTACAGTGTTAAAGAATTGATATCCCACAATTTAAATTAGGTTTGAGTTACTAGCCTAATACTACACATAGTTTTTCAGGCTTTGGAGAGTTTTGAGCATTTTGCAGTATTTTCGTTCAAATTATTTTTGTTTAATATTCAGCTCGATGTTCAAGTAAATGTGTAGCTGTTGTTAATTGTTATTATTATTTTATTATCAGGTATTTATTTGAAATCAATATTCATAAAATCAGCATAATACATCAGTTATTAACTTAATTAGTTGATCTACCAATCAAGTATTGTGCTATACTATATACAAAGGCGATTTTCAGCCTGGAATGATTATTATTTGGTTATAACCAATGCATTTCCGCCGTCGCGGTTTTAACCAAAGTAGGGGAAGTTGTGATGTCACATATCAGCTGATTTGCTTTTGGTATTTACCACTTATAACCGATTATAACCCAGCTTTGGACTTGGGTTAATCTTTTGGTTACAGCTTTTTGATGTGATTGTTATTATTTTGGGAATTGGTATTGGTGTTTTGTGATTTTGCAGTTGTGTTGTGGCCTGGCACAATGGGAGAAGTATACACTCACTCACTCACTGCAACTCACCATGCTTAGATCGAGGTTTAGATCATCCCCAAAGAAAATCTGTTCGATGAACGAGACTAACGAGAGATTCCGCTCCATTTTTTGTACCTAAACAACAAACCATTGTTGAAACGAAAAAACAAATAGGAATAATAAACATAATCCTACACTGCTATAACCAAATCATTTCAGCGGTCAGTTCCTTGGGTTAAGATTCTTGAGTGGTGGGGGGCTGTGACTTCACACTTGGCTGTCAAAGTTGTCAACCAAAAGAATAACCACGGTATTTACCGATAAATAATCATTCCAGGCTGAAAATCGCCTCAAGTTATGCCCAAGAATCCTAGGTGTTTAAAACCCCTTTATGTGCCTACCCAGCAACGTTCACTTAGGTGTACATCATTAATTCACTATTTACTGAAAAAATAAATCCAACTTCTATGGATAAACAAACTCGGTGCCTACTATGCTCGCTACTATGTCACTGTGAAGAAAAAGGAAAGGTCTTTATAATTTACTAATTAAGTCAAGAAGATAAAAATAAACATTTGAGTGATACACTTGGGTACACATTGATTTTAAGTATAATTATCACAGACATTATTTAGCAAAAACAGTTGAGAATGATCCAAAATTAGAAAAAATATACGCTTTACATTTCTCAGTAAATTTCTTACACTTCTAAATACCTTTAATGCTGTTTGGAAACTGATTATAAACTCTAGGCCCGGTATAGCAAAAAAAGTCAGATTGCTATTATTGAAATTAGTATGTGGTGGTTAAGGTTGTTTGGTGTGTCATGTTCATGATTTACTTGGTCTTTCAGATAGTCATTTTTATGTGTATAGCTACTTACTGCAGTCATGTATAATGTACATATATTACAAGTCTCTACTGTAAATATAAGATGAACATGAACTTAGCGAAACACTCGTCGCCAAACTTAATGGGCATAGGTGGATTATTTGTTGTTAAATTGTTGCTAATTAGTTACGGCAATATTGATTTTGTTGCTCTTTTGTTTTTTTTTTTTTTGGGTGCTTCGCTAAGTTCATATGAAGTTAGCGAAACATTTCTCCTTAGAACGTCTGTAGTAATAAATTAAATGCATGGAACTTTGTTGCTAATTATTTGCTAATTAGTTACGGCCATTTTAATGGCGGAAAGTAATTATTTTTGTTTTTAAGGGGTGCTTCGCTAACTTCACACGAGCAATCTCATCTGTAGATGACTCACAACCAATTAGAAAATTAATAGGAATTAGTTGCTAATAAGTTGCTAATTAGTTACGGTAGCTAAAGGTACAGCGAATTATTTTTTTCGTATTTTCGAGTGCCTCGCTAAGTTCACACGTACATAATTACACCACAACGTATCCAAACGATGGGAAACACGTTTTTTATTTTGTTGCTAATTAGTTACTAATTAGTTACTAATTAGTTACTAATTAGTTACTATCATTTAGAATTTGTTACGCGACTCCACATTTGATATTCAATGTCTTTGTCCCTGTCATGGCCGCCAAGTGATTTCAACCTTCTTAAACTTTCCCTGACTAATTTAATATTTTGTTACTAATTAGATGACGACTAATTATCGCCACTTCAATCTCTTGAGTGATTTTCTTGTTCATTTTTCCGGGTGCCTCGCTAAGTTCACACCTGCTTTATAATGCAGAAACGCAATCAAACCACGAAGAACGCAGTTTTTATTTTGTTACTAATTAGTTACTAATTAGTTACTATCATTTAGAATTTGTTACGCGACTCCACCTTTGATATTCAATGTCTTTGTCTCTGTCATGGCCGCCAAGTGATTTCAACCTTCTTAAGCTTTCCCTGACCAATTTTATATTTTGTTACTAATTCGATGTCTACTAATCATACTTTTTTCAACTGCGAAAATTCGTTTTTTTTTGTATTCGTGTGCTTCGCTACGTTTAAGCCGTTTTTATCCGTTTTAAAATCGGATCCGTTTGGCTAGGTAAGAAATATAGTATTTTTAATACCTATTTAGAAGTACCAGTCGTTCTAGTAACAAAACGTATGTCGCTTCTTGACACACAAATAAAATTAGGTTAGGAATTTCCTGTGTGTACATGAAATTGACGTATTAGCAATCGACGTTCGTTTTGGTTGGTAATTTTTTGTTTCATCTGATTCGTGATTGATAAATAAAGATGAGGTTATTCTAAATGGGTATTACAAAAATACTATACATGTTTCCGTTTCATAAACGAATACAAACGGATAAAAACGGATTCTAAGAATGCAAAGCTTTATTAGTTGTTAGTCACTATTATTCGAAATTTTCCGTATTTTTTTTCCTTTGAAGCTTTTTGAGTATATAATCTTATTGAGTATGGAAAATTGATAGTTTAAATACGGAAACAACTTGTAGACTCCTTTTTTCTACTACATTGCAAATGATTGTATGTCTTTATCATTTCTTTCATCACTTTTTATATTTCTTGAAAACCAATAGCTAAATTTTACTTTCACAATTACATTAATCTACACCATTTCAACCTCAACTTCGGAAAAAGTAACTTTTATTTAGGAAAATGTAAAGTCATTTTCGGAAAAAGTCAAATCAATTTCAGAAAAAGTAAAGTTAATTTCGGAAAAAGTAAATTCAAATTCGGACAAAGTAAATTCAAATTCGGAAAAAGTGAATTCAAATTCGGAAAAAGTAAATTCAAATTCGGAAAAACTACATTCAATTACAGAGAAAGTAACGTTATTTTTTAGAATAATTCGAATTGATAAAACGAAATTTAGCAGTGACTATAAGCCTCCAGTCGAACCCGTACCCAGACGGGCTCGATTCCAATCAGTGTACTTTAATTAGGTTCAACATATATTGGTTCTGTATTATTTTGTAGGTCTGATGATGCTCATAATATGAGCGAAACACATGTCACTATTAAGAGAATAAAATAATAAACAATCTGTAGACTTGGTAATTTTTTTCTTTCTTTTATTACCTATTTAAAAATCGAGTCTTTTTGAGAAATATGGACAAATTTTTTTGCTTTTTTAAGTAGATAAATGACTGAATCAATTCAAATTAGTCTATAAAAAATAACATTACTTTCTCCGTAATTGAATGTATTTTTTCCGAATTTGAATTCACTTTTTCCGAATTGGAACTTACTTTTCCCGAATTTGAATATACTTTTTCCGAAATTAACTTTACTTTTTCTGAAATTGATTTGACTTTTTCCGAAAATGACTTTACATTTTCCTAAATAAAAGTTACTTTTTCCGAAATTGAGGTTGAAATAGTGTAGATTAAATGGGGGGTTTGTTTTATGTGTATCTGGTAATAAATATTTCAACCAATTATTAACGATTACTTTTTGGTTTATTGAGCATTTTAATTTGGTCATCATTATCAATACATAACTTTAGCATTATAACTTTGAATAAATCAATAGTTCAACACTTAAATTATACTCTTCATTAACTACATAGGACTTTGATTTTTTGTCATCGTATCCAACCCAGTTGT